GGGTCTCCTTCGTCTGTGTAATCTCCTCCCCCTGAACCAGTGGCTGCAGGGACCAGTGCGATGGGATTCCTTGCTCAGGGAACCAAAACCATTGCAGAGACAGACTGCCAGGAAACCAGGCGCCGGTCAGAAACTAGGAGAGCTGAGGTGTGTGACACCAGCCCGGAGGTCCCCGGAGAGTTCACACTCTCGAGGGTGGGACCCTATTTGCTGAAGTGACTTATACCATCTGGGTCACCATGCTGCACACCAGGAAACTCCAACAGTTGCAGAACAGCTGCAAAACTGTTGCAATCCAGCAGGTAACATTTCCCTGCAGGAGATTTACAAAGGTGCAACAGAAACACTCCCCGTGTGCAAGCAGTGAGCAAACCGGGTCTCTACCACCAGTAGGTTCGAAATCACACCGGGGGCGTGTGCATGCGTGCCCAAGATCCCAGGCGGAGAACGGAGCCCAGGGGATGGCAGTGCGGCCATCCCCCCGGAAGTGTTTGTGTTTTTTTTTTCATTTTTCCTCTCACTGTGTCTGTCTCTTTCTCTCCCCCTGGTGAGCATGCATGCTCTAAAACCAAAACAAAAACAAAAATAAAAGAAAAAAAAACCTCTAAAAATGGGACCAGCAGGTCATGTGATGGTCACATTGTTGGACCTCTAACAGTTCAAGTCCTGGACCTGGTGGCTTAAACACTCATGCAGGGGACATGTACATGTATGATGCCCAAAATCTTGAGAGGAGAATGGAGGAGAAGGGATTACAGCATGGCTATCCCCCCAGAGGGGTGATTTCTCACTTTCTCTCTCTCTCTCTGTCTCTCTCTCTCCCTGGCGAGTACATGTGCCCTGTAGCAAAAAATCTCTCTCAAAACAAAACTCTAAGACAAAATTTAAATATATATATATAAAAATAGAAATAAATAACATTAAATACATAACTCTTTATTTAAAATCCTTTTCTTAAAGAATTATTTAAAATAATAAGTAAATAGTAAGTAAACCATTCTTTAAAATAGTAAGTAAATTATTTTTAACTTACTATTTTATTTATTATCATTTTTCGGTTTGGAGAGAGAGAAAGAGAGAGAAAGTGAGAAAGCAAGCCACCAGGTCCAGGATTTGAACCCTGGTTGACCATGTGGGAGTCCAGAGCCTCAACCTTCATGCCACCTGTTGACTCATACATAACTCTTTTGTAAAAAAGTTTAAGAAATTTGGGGACTAGAGGACCAGTGGTTAGCATAATGGCTACGTCGCTGGATTCGCATGTCAGTGTCAAGG